GAGTTGAATAGTGAAGGTTCAACATTCTTAGTTACATTCAATGTTGAATAAAGAGGCTTGTATTTCTGATTTATGGGCCCTCGACTCGCTTGGTATTACGGACCCATCCGAACAAAAGAGTAAATTGGAATTGTATGAGGCTACCAGGCAACATTTTCTTGATACTGTAAAAATAGAAGATGAACCGCTTTGTAGTGTCTTTGCCTTGGTTGGAAGGGCACCCTTCCCTGTCGATAATTTTGAGTTATCGCTTAAAAGGTTGCACGGTACGATTAGGCAACTTGAAATAGATAATCTTCGCCAAGAGTATGAAAATATATTCCAAGAATGGCTCAAAGAGGGCATAATAGAGGAAGTACCCGTAAATGAATTAGATTTACCCCATCATTATTTGCCACATAGACATGTTGTTAAGGAACATAGTACTACGAAGTTACGGCCAGTATTTGACGCTTCGTCTAAAGCAAGGGTTCTCCGAGTCTCAACGATTGTCTTGAAAAGGGATTAAACCTTATTTCATTTATTCCTACAATCTTAAATAGATTTCGCCAAGAAAAAATAGGGGTGATTTCTGATATTCGTAAGGCCTTTCTACAAATTGGCCTGAATTCTAGTGACAGAAACTTCCTCCGATTTCTTTGGATAAAGGGTGAAGATGGCTTGAAGCATTTTCGTCATTGTCGAGTCGTATTTGGTGTAACCAGTAGTCCATTTTTACTTGGAGCTGTTATTCAATATCACTTAAATTCAATTTTGGAGAAAAATGATGCAGATGTAAAATATCCTTCCAACATTATTGTTAAATTAATGAATAGTTTCTATGTTGATAACTGTGTAACAAGTGTCGGAAGTGAAGATGAATTACAGCGCTTCATGAAAGTATCTTCAGATGTTATGGCAGAACGAAAATTTGAATTACGGGGTTGGGAATATACCGACTGTAGTTTAGAAACAGAAAACTATTGCGAATGTATTAGGTTTGTTATGGGAAAGACAAGGCGATACTCTTCAAATAAATGTTGCTAATTTACAAAATCTTTGTTTCGAGAAAGTTACGAAAAGAAGTATTTTGGCAATAGCCCATAAAGTATTTGATCCCATCGGTATAACATGTCCAGTCCTTATATTACCTAAGATGTTATTACAGCGTACATGGGAAACAAAAGTAAAATGGGACGAAGAAGTTAACACCGAAATTAAAAGTAAATTTTTGAAATGGGTAAAAGACATTTCTCTTTTGAAAAACATTAAAATTCCAAGGTGGATACGATATCAGCCAAAACAGTGTTCAATCCATGTTTTTTGTGACGCCAGTCAAGCAGCGTATGCGGCAGTAGTTTTTATTCGTGTAGAAGAACCTGAATCAGTTAAAGTACCAGTTTGCTTCAGGCTAGGTCTAGAGTTTCCCCTTGTGGTAAAAAGGAAACTACTATTGTAAGATTAGAATTGTTAGCAGCAACTATTGCATCTCGTCTTGCTGCAGACGTTCTAAAAAGACTTTGAGGCCAGAAGTATATTTTTCTGGACAGATTCAACTACTGTCCTTGCATGGATAAAAAGGGAAGAACAATGGGGGACATTTGTAGAAAATAGAGTACAGGAAATAAGGCTTTTGACACGTGTGGAGGATTGGAGGCATATACCTGGTCACCTTAACCCTGCAGATCTTCCAAGTAGAGGGTGTTCAGTTCGCCAACTCTCCCGGTCAAAATGGTGGGAGGGTCCGAGCTGGCTTTTAAAATCGCAAGAAAAAATTGGCCGAGTGCCGAATTTATAACTGATGAAGCGGAAATAGCCAGCGAGAAAAAAAAGGCAGTGGTTTCATCTCTAGTGTCTACTGAAAGGTTTAGTTTGAGTGAGCGATTTTCTAGCTATCGAAAAACAGTTAGAGTTGTTTGTTGGATTCAACGATTTTTCTTTAATTGCAGAAATAAGAAAAAAGGAAAGGTGAACTCACTGTTGATGAAATTGATTTTGCAGAAAAGGTTGTTATTCGCTTGATTCAATCGGAATCGTTTCAGGATATAGAAGACGCACGCTTACGAACTCTTAGTCCATTTTATGATGCGGGAATTCTAAGAATTAAAACTGGTGCGTTTCGAAGAGATGACACGTTAGAGTTTAGAACACCTATAATATTACCAGGAGAACATCCATTAGTTAGGAATTTAATTATGGAAGAACATAAAAAGAAAGGACATGCAGGTGTACAATATATACTGAATACCTTAAGGGAAAGGTTTTGGTTGTTATCTGGCAGAAGAACTGTGCGTTCTGTTTTGAGTAAATGCATTACTTGCAAGAGATATTCTGCTGCACCTGTTGACCACATATCAGCCCCACCGCCAATAGAGCGAGTAAAGTAAATGATTCAGCAGTATTTCAAGTAACGGGTATATTAAAGACCTTTGTGGTCCTTTATTGTTGAGAAACAAAGAAAAGGCATGGATTTGTGTTTTTTGTTTTTACATGTGCCGTTTATAGAGCGGTCCATTTGGAGTTGCTGACTTCTCTATCTACAGAAGTGTTTCTTCAGGCTTTTCATCGGTTCGTGTCACGAAGAGGTAAACCCACAACTGTGTACAGTGATAATGGAACTAATTTTGTAGGAGCTTTCAAATGCATTTAAATTAATAGATTTTGAACAAATTAATCGGCAGGCAGCCAATGAGCGGATAACATGGAAATTTATTCCCCCTGGTGCTCCATGGTGGGGTGGTTGGTGGGAACGTCTGATCGGAATGATGAAGCAAGTCCTTAAAAAAGTTCTTAAACATGCTTGTTTAAATTATGAAGAAATGTACACGATACTGTGTGACTGTGAAGCGATTCTTAATGACCGACCGTTGACAGTAATTCCTTCCGATCCTGAATTTAAAGCTTTAACTCCTGCCGACTTTTTAAAAGAAATTAGAACTAGTAGTTTGCGGGATATAAAATACGGTATTAAATCAAGTAATTTACAAAGAAGATTTCAGTATATTCAAACTGTACGAGAAGCATTTAAAAATAGATTTCGTAAAGAATATTTGGGAATTCTCAAGGTTTCGCATAAAAGAGCTGAAAGGAAAGTTACTATTAAATTAGATGATATTGTTTTTGATCGGTAGTAGTGACAAAAGACTTTTTTGGCAACTTGGTCGTGTCATAGAACTACTTCCAGGACCTGATGGAATAAATCGGCTTGCAAGAGTAAAGACCCGAAATGGAATTTTGCTTAGAGCAGTTCGAAACTCTTGTATCCTTTAGAGGTAAGCGCACAAGATGATGTACCCGTGAAGCTGCAGAATGAAAAACAAGATTCTTTGTCTGAACTTAAAAACTCAGCGTAGATGATAAATCTGTCAGACCTGTAACACGATCTGGTAGAACTGTAACTCCGCCAGACAGACTGGCATATTAATTAAGGCTCTTTAGGCATTTGTTTTACTTTGATGTGAAAGTTCACTTTTTTTTTTTTTTTTTTTTTCCTTAGGTGGAAGGATGTTAAATATTTGCATAAGTCGCCTGTAGTAACGGCAACCGCCGTCAATAAAGGAGGTGCTTTTCCTTAGTGGCACCGCAGTTCATTTTCAGTTTGGAGCCAGAAGCAGTGCAGACCTGCCCGGGGAGAAGCCAGGGGATGAGAGATTCCGGTTTCCGCCCTGTTCCGGTTCCCGTCTTGTTGCGGATCCAGTCCTGTTCCGGTTCCCGTCTTGTTCCAGTCCAGTTCCGGTCCTGATCCAGTCCTATTCCAGTTCCAGCCGTGGCCGTTTAAGTCCAAAACACGTAGGAGCGGATGTCTGAATTCAGCGGAATGGAGATATACGCCGAAAGGGCTAGATGGATTCTGTCTTTTAAAGGAAAGTGTTCTTCACCGTGCCGGCATAGCTGTTACTTTAAAGCACTTTGAAGTTTTTCCACCCAAGATGTTAAGTTTTGTTTGTGATGTTTTCATCAGTGTTGAAGTTCCAGTTAAATAAACCTTTAAGTTTTAGACAAGGTTTTTGTGTTCTTCAGAAAATTTTAGATTCGAAGTCAGATACAACACATAGGATTATTATCGGAAAAATCAACACCCGCTTTCATATTGTCTGCATCACATTCTTGGTCTTGCTTGCTCCTGTGAAAACGCACTTTTCTTTTTCACCCGTTGTATTGTCATAAGATATAGAATAGGCAAAAGTGTGATCAAGACGGGGGCGCAGGTTGTACCCATTACGATATATAATACATATTAAAATTGTGTCCCTTAAGAGCAAAATAAAATGTGTGAAATCGGCCACTATGACTGTTAACATCTTTTCTACGTCAGGTCTGTAAGTCACGATTCCCGCTTCGTTGAGCTATCAGCTTCTAAATCATTATACACATATATGTGTTTATGTGTATAACAGATTCATAGGCCAATGGAATTGGCTTAAATACCTTTACTTTCTAATCCATAATGTCATCATTACACTTAACTGAATCGTTTGGAATTTTGAACGCGAAGCCAATTTCGTTTCAGGACCTATGCCAAGAAATGAAATATTTGAAATAAAAAAAGAAAAAAAAAAAAAAAAAAAAAAAAAAAAAAAAAAAAACTACGTGGAAGTTACCAGAACTCTGAGAATAAAATCTGATGTCCATTAATTTAGAGTTCAAAAACACAAGCTTTGTTCCTGGAGTTCCAACACTTTTCAACAAAGAACTAAGGACCAAAGAATCCTACCTTTGTTCAAATGGTACACACTTTCAGCCACCTGTAAATATCTGAAATGCTTGTATTGCTTGAGGTCGCTAGTGGATGAGATAAAGACAAATTGGATATTAATTTCTTCTCTAAAGAAGAGAGTCCTGACGTTATTAATAGTGTGCTCTACGGCAGAGTGACAAAGAAGTAGCCAAAGATGCCAAAGATACTTTGGGGGCGCTCTGCTGTTGAGGAAACTGGCAACCTCCCAGAGCTTTCCCCTCTCCTTCTTCTAAACCGCGTGTTTTTTCCAAAATCGTATCTCTCCTCCCCCTGGCGTACAGACCGGCAGTTGAAAGTTAATGACAAAGCTTGAAATTCCAAGGTTCGTTTGTCATTTCTAACCGAAACATCTTTTAGTAGCTTCTTTTTCCCCCCTTCCTTTTTTCCCCATCAGCAAAGAATTCTAAAAGTAAATATATTCTTCTAATTAACAAATTGGCAGTTTTAATGGTGTATTTTCAAGTAGATTCGTTAAAACAGCATGCGTTTAAAGATTTTGATTTTTAGATATTTGAACTGATAGATTAAAACTTCGATCGTTAGGCATTTGCGCTTCTCAGAGTAAATATTAATAACAAATTTCTAAACTGCAAGAAACATGCTATTTTAACGAATCTACCTGCCATAGTTTGAAGCAGATTTGTTAAAACAGCATGCGTTTGATAATTTTGATTTTTAAATACTTGAAGTGATGGATTAAAACTTCGATCGTTAGGCATTTGCGCTTCTCAGAGTAAATATTAATAACAAATTTCTAAACTGCAAGAAACATGCTATTTTAACGAATCTACCTGCCATAGTTTGAAGCAGATTTGTTAAAACAGCATGCGTTTGATAATTTTGATTTTTAAATACTTGAAGTGATGGATTAAAACTTCGATCATGTCGTAATGGTTGTTTTCAAATTAAATATTAGAGACAAATTTCTAAGCAGCAAGAAGCATGCTGTTTCGACGAATCCACTAGGCATATTTTCAAGTAGATTCGTTAAAATAATAGCATGCGTTTAATGATTTTGATTTCTAGATACTTGACCTTGTGGATTAAAACTTCGATCGCTTGGCACTGGGTATTTTCAGAGTGAACATTAATGACAAATTTCTAAACTGCTGAAAACGTATAGGAAGTTTCAAAAGAAAGTCTTAAATTTGGATTTTCTCTGAAGTATTTATTTATTCTTGTTTTTTATTCCCTTAAAAATTAAGCTGGAACTGAGTTCTAGTAGAAAAAGAGTTAATTTAAACGTGAATGTCGATTTAGAAATTAGAAAAATATCTACGTTTAAATAAGGAGTGAAAAAGAGACCTGTAACATTTCTTTTGTAGGCGGAGATTAAAATCAATTGACACGTGTTGAATGTTTTATAACAGTTAATACGACGCCTCAGCAAAATGACTTATTACATGTAAAATAAAGGAAGCATTGCTAAACCTAGCATCATTTTTGCCTTACAAAGAGCGGGAATGTGCAGAGACTACTTTCTTCATGCACAGATGGGATACTGGTTAGTGACGCTGACTGCCGAACCGAATCTCGGAAAAGACATAAATGCTTGTAAGGGGATTGCGTCTGTCCCTTACGGGGCACTCGAAATATATGACAAGCCGAAGAGTTCTCTCGAGAGACCCTCAGACCACCAACCCTGGGGTATTTTCCCTCGAAATCGGAGCGCAAGCTTAACAGTTAAACGAATTTGCATAGTGCCGGCCAGCTGTAACTGATAGCATTAAACGTTGAAGCACATCAAAAAGCACTATTTTTAAACTTTCATTTGAAGTAACAAAATTTTATTTAGTATAGCGTATTTACTCGCGTATTATTCTTTTCTTTTTCTTAATACCATTTTTATCGTTAGAAAATCGAGAGGAGAAAATTACGAATAATTAATTAATTTAATTTTTTAAAATTAATTTTTAAATTAATAATTTAAAATTAAATTATTCGTATTTAATAAAATACGAATAATTTAATTTCGAAGGACGCCGTTGCAGCAAGATCATAACTCAAAAGTACTCAAAAGTAGTCACTTCATTTTGCTTCGCTGTTGTTAGTCGATTCTTGTATTAAGCAGAAGGCAAAGTTTCGGCGTGACCTTAGCAGATAGTGTGCGAAGGTTTGTTTTTTGATAGTAAGACGAAAACAATCGATACGTGGACGAATCCATTTTAAATTTTATGGGATCTCGTTCTCTAAACGCTTGATGAAGAGGAAAATTATGTGAATATTTTTTTAATTTTCAGAATCTGGTGCTAAAAGGCTAGGGAGAAAAATTCTTGAGGATATGCGGTATTTATGATAATTTAAAAAGTACTACATCTTAATACTTTTTCTCTGTGCTATACGGGCAACGACTGATTTCTAAAAATCATCTTTCGTAGACAATATCAGTGAGATCGAAAAACATTATATCCTATTACCTTAAGTGCTGGTAGTAAATAAGTTTAAAAATAAAACAGTTATTAAGATTTTTACTAAAATAGAAATTAAGTTCCAAAAATAGTCGCTAATACTCGGTAATGACTTAAGTTCTTTAGAAATAATTGCCTTCCAGTGGCTGAGTGGATAAGTCCACTGAACACTGAATCATATTAAGGCAAGAAGGCGCAAATCGAATGCTGGGCTGCAACGTGCTGCCGTGATTAACACTGCTTGCAAAATTTTTAATTATTTGCTTAAAGGTATTTTCATTTTCAAGCCATTGTAATGACTTATCTTTTGAAACCTTAATAAATCTAACGCGTTTGCTATTTCAGATTGTGTTAACATAAATGTTAAGCAACAATAATGACCTGCAAATTACATTAGCATAAATATAAATACAAGGCAGTTTCTCTTAGAAAGACCTCCACGAAGGACCTTCTGTTAAGTAGAATGCCCTAGCCTGCTTTCCATAATCAGTTATTCAAACCAAATCGAAAACGTATTTAATTATTAACGATTAAAATTATTTAATATTTGAAATCAGAGAGAGAAATCATAGGCCCACAAACGGCTGAGCGGTAAAGTCTCTGAACACCGGTAGTTCAGTAGGGGGGATTCGAATCCCAGCGAACATGATGGCTGCATAGGCGTTTTCGTGGTTTTCCCCATGTGTAACGTGTATACGAGCCAGTTTACCTTAAAACGCCCTCCTCGAAGACATCCCCCCCTTAGGCAGGTAGCCCTTGAGTGCTTTACCATAATCAAAATAAACCCAAAGCAGAGAAATCTAAATCACATACTTTATGTATTTTTTGGAGAGTTATCTTTGCGTTTTGTATTAATGCGTAAAATTTACATAAGTCTTCAAATAATATTATTGGAATGGGCTGAAAATAATAGTATCTTAAAGCAAATAAATAATATTATTGGAATGGTCTGAAAATAATAGTATCTTAAAGCAAATAAATTAAGAACTTTTATATATGTTTTTTGTTGCAAGTGCAGGAAACAGAATGGGTAAATAAAGCCTTGCAATCAAAAACTGTAATCATTCATAGAAACGCGGTCTTAATAGGGCCTAATATTGATTAATCTAAGTTCGCATCCCGATAGATGGGCTTTTTTGTGGAGAATCTTCATACTTTTCCATATCTGTTAACATAAATAGCTAATTCGCCTTAGAAAGGTCTCCATCGTGGCATCCCTTTCCCCAAGGAAATTTTATACATATATTTATTTCCTACTATGCATTCGCAACTAGTGACTATTTTACATTTTCAGGAAATCCATATTTCAAGTCTTCAAACATCAGCTTACATCGTGCGCTGTATACTGATACTTTTCTGCGGAGCTGAATATTCTTCACAACAGGCATGCGTAGAAGCCAGAATGCGCCGTAAGTTTCATGCAAATTATTTATTATTTTGTCGTAAAAATCAGGATAAAATATTCTGGGATAAAAAGCAATGCAAAAGAAAAACTACGTAATTAATTTTAAAAAATTCCTCACTCAACTAAATATAAAGATGAGACTTTTTTTCTGGTGCCTAACCCCTCTTTCAATAAATAAATAAATAAAATTTGAAGCTTGCATGTCAAAACGAAAGTCTTGCTGAATCAGCGTCTGAGGCCGAAATATTTTGCCCGCACTAACAGTGCATTTCACGTGTACTTTCAACACCACGAACTATGTCAAGAAGCTTCAATTAGTTTCAAGTAGCTAGTAAATAAAAATAGATGCTGCAACGTAAATGAATGCTGAAAAACAATGATGCTGCCCGTCATTTCTCAAGCAGCTGAAATCTAAGTTTCACGAGTGACGTATCCGACCTTGAGGTAATGTAACTCTTCATAATGCATCAATTCTTTAAGAATTCAGCTTCGCCACACTGAGGTGCCTACGAATTAATCATCTTCACACTGCTTCTGTAGTTTTCAAAGTCGGAATAACTGACAATACGATAAGTTTCGAATGTGGTTTTAATTAACTTAGAAGTTAAAATCTAAGAGCTCACATTACTTTAGCTCATTTTATGAATTCAGTTGATGCTGAGTCGGCAGTACACGCTGCCAAGTGAAATTTTGCTGAAAACACTAAGCAGTTAAGATTTGCAGGTTTCTTTCCAGGTGCTTATTTAGTTTACTTCTTTCAAATGAGAGCAAATGTGCTTCAAGATCGAAGTTTCAGTATCACCCACACATACTATTGCTATTAAAATCCTGTTCTTTTTATTTTATAAATCCCACCTCTTCTTTAAAAAAAGGGTGCGCGGGACGATTTAAAAATAAGATTATTGCCTTTGCAAAATAAGCTTGGAAATTTTTCTTGCAAACATAAAGGTTCGTAATTACAAAAACTCTGAAAATCAGCTGAAATAATTTTTACTTTATTTTTGTGTGCAAAAAAAAGTAAAACACTGGGTTTCTTTCAAAGGTAGTTCTTCTCAATAAATAACGCACTAGAAATAACTAACAATATCAATAGCGCACCAGAAAATCTATAAATTGGAGCTAATTAATTTGCAGTGTGGTATAAATCATATTCAAATATATGAATTTGCAGATCTGATTAACTTTTATTCGTACATATTAAAAAAATTAATTCGCTCAGTTACGAATTTTTGCACTAAGAATAATGGATTTGTTTGGTAGTTACATTTATATGTGAACAGCTTTTTTTTTTCATAGTTGAAAACTAAAAAGGAAAAAACCCGATTGACCGATAGGCATCTATAATCTGCAATGAAGATAATTTCTAATAATTTTTCTCCAGTGCATAGGCAAGATACAAACAAATTTTATATTTATATAAAAATTATATTTTTTACATACAAACATTTTAATTTATGTATCGAAGAAAAATTTGGCAAACAAGAGGAAAAGTTTAGGGTGTCATTATTCATTCTAAAGTTGCGTGCAGTCTAGAAAGTTTTCATGATTTGTTTATTAAATTTAAATTAAATAAGTTATTTAATCCTTAATTAAACACATTAGAATTATATGAAATAAATATCAGTCTGAAATATTAACATTTAGCCGTCAATATGTTTGAATTACGAAGTGTGCAGCCTACCAACGGCCGAGTCCTAAAGTCGCTGAACACTGGTAGCTTAGTCTGGGGTTCGAATCCCGGCGAGCTAGCTGGCTGTATGCTTTAACTAAAAGGTAATGTGTTAACATAAAATAATCTACGACCTTAAAATATTACCCATCAAAATAGTTAATTTTTCTTTTGCTGTAATATTAATATTGATATTGATGTTAATTTATTAATTGGAAAAGATTAAATAACACTAATATTAGTTTTAATTAATATTTACTTTTGCATGAATATTCTTAATCTCAAGCATTATTTTAAGGTTAAAACTAAAAAAATTGTTGTTGTATAATAAACAGAGAGCCAGCGTTTAACATAAGGAGTCTTACATTTGCTGTAGTGGAAACAAAAACAAGCTGTGATATCTGCGGCTGTTAAAACCACTAGAACAGCAGTTCTTTCATTTAAATTAGGCGAGTAAGACTTGAAGATTATGTAAGCCTCTTTATACATTCTGTTAGTTAAAAAAAACTGCAGAGAAAGTTTTAAATGATTTTTTAATGAGTATTTAATAGTGCGCTCATATGTAAGACATACATAACATAGACTTGAGAGCTTTCGTATTGAATTAAAAATGTATCTGTCACAGCAGAGATTTATATAAAGGGGTCGCTACTGTAAAGAAAAAATAGTTATCAGCTCATTTCTTTACCGATGATAATTTACTTATTTCGGCAATATGGTTTAAAATGCAAGCTTTCAAGAATAATCATAATGGTAATAATAGATAACAATTATTATAAAATATAGCAATAATATGCATAGTAGAAAATAACCTTCAGGTATAATCGTTTAAAAACTGACGAAATGTTGCTCTAAGTCAAGTCTAATAAATATCTGAAATATTTCTCAGCTTTAAAATATTCTTTTATAAAATTTTAATTCTTCAAAAAATCATTTTACTTATGCTGTAGTTTAACAACAATATTTTATTAATAACCATTTTGAGTTCACCTTAAACAAGGGACTATAATAAATCAAGAATATTAATTATTCACTATTAGAAGAGCTCTGCAAGTTATTTTTCTTTTACCGCACTTGAATTAATCATTAAGGTAAGCATGTTGCGTGCTAGTTTGTGAATAGAAGATTAACTTTATATTATGAAAACTGCTGTTATCATTTACGATTATTATTATAATTTATTATTACTAATTATGATTAATACTGGAAGGATTTTTTAGACAAATTGAGTTAATGCGATAACTTCTTTTATCACTACCCTTCTTCAATTAAATTAATTGTCTGTATCTTAATATACTTCTTGAATAATGATGTCTAACATTTTTAAGTACGTTAGCATAATAATTAAATGATTAAAAAAAAAAAAAAAAAAAAAAAAAAAAAAAAAAAAAACGATAAAGAAGTAATATAACAGCAGTCGTTATTTTATAATAACGAATACTTTGTACAAGCCCTTGCTGTGATACAATTCTGAATCCATATTAGGGCTTTTAGTTCTACGCTTTGCATGCCTCAGGTGTGAGAGCACTATAAATGTGAATGTCCACAGTCTCAGAATCGTACATAAATATTATCAGGAAAAAATGATGAAATGAATTTCGAAAACTGCTATATATTTTTTTCCAATTTTGAGATTTTGTGCATGTGGAAGAAATAAGAAAATCTCACCTTTTAACGCAGCATATAAATTTTTCCATAAGTTATTTAAACGATGAAAACAATGGAGTATTGAGGACTCCTTTAAGAGTTATTCTGCAGTTATTCTGAACAGCAGAAAGTATAGAGAGTAATAATTAGTTGACAGCTTCAAGGCTTTTCTGACTGGCGAAAAAAATTGTCATTCTGAAATTCTCGTATAGGATATCATTGTAAATTATATATTTTCGTGGCTGTTTTCATATAACCTATTTTCAAGGGTGAAAGTTGAAACAGCTTATATTAGTTACGGGCTTTCTGATTATTCCACAACAACACTTTATTAGTTTTAACCTTGAAAGGTTTAGAATTTAATATTATGCTTTGCAAGCTATGGTATTAAATTTTAGAGAATCATATCCTGGATACTCAATAATATTTTCCGTTCATTTTTATTACAAATACACTTAACTGTAAATAACCAGTTTCTTTAAAATACGTAGAGTTACTTTACCTAGATTCGCTAGGGTTCGTTAAACAATGCCCTGATATAAACTTATGCTCGAAGAAGTGGATCCGTCATCTTATAAAATTGAAAAAAGGCAAGGAACTTATTCAGTATATAATTTGCAAAGTGTTATCTGTGAAATTGCATCAGATACTAATTTCCCTTACGGATCTCGGTGTAGAAAAAGTAAATAATAGATATGATTATGGAAACGGTGAATATTTGATTCAAACTTTAAATCACCTTGATTGTGAATTGATGAACTATACTTTGGAAAGTGTAAGTTTATATACGATTAATAAAAGTTGTTTTGAGAAAGAAGGTAAAAATAATATTATTATGCAGTCTTGGCTAAGAACTCTAGAGTACGCGTTTAGATGTATAACCGTAAGAATATATGGCATAAAATTTACAGTAATTACTAAGAACTGAAACTTACCATTCATAGCAGTGAAAGGCGTTCTTTCCGAAAATCGCTGATACTGGTCACTGAGGTAAGGAGGGCTACTGACGGCCTAAAATATGAAAAAGGAATAGTTTTTTTAAAATAAACATGTTGCCATTACTTAAAATAAGCACGGAATTAAGAAAAAACATAATAGATAAAAAATGGTGCTCATTATTGATATTATCTGTATGCCATAATTTTAGTTGTATAGTTTCTTTTATATGAAATTTAGAACAGCAATACTGAAAAAAGAAAAATGTTGTGAATCTTTGATATAACATTTGGTTGATTGTTTTAGAAGATATACATTGAAAATATTTCTGACTGTAAAGACGTTTTCAGATTTGATTCCATTTTTATTGGTATATACATTCAACTGAGCTTTTATTTGTACCACAGAGTATCAAAAATATAACTCAATACGTTAGAAATTAATTAGTTCTAGTGCTAACAAAATAATGTAAACACTTAGTTCTCAGACAAAGCATTCTGAACAGCCACGAAGTGTTGAGATACTTGCTGAGATTCAGTAGCAGCCTGTTGTTGTAGTGACTAACCTCACTTGCCTGACAGTGACACCCAATGACCCTTTCTCAAAATTATCTGTTTGTTGGAGGCCAAGAAAAATTTTCTCAATTGGCAGTCGAGATAAGGTCTTCTGTTTTCGGAAAGGAAACAAAATATTTTCGATCATATTGAGACTGCGATTTTGTTATCATTTTTATTAGAAAATATTAGGGATGTTTATTTTATTATATAGGACTTAATTAATAGACCAAGAACTGTTTATAACTCCAAGCAACATTTAGATCGATTTTAGAATTTTCCAGAATTGAACAAATTTGGCAAATTGTTCCTTTAATCTAATTTGCTAAAATCCATTACATGTGTTTACAAATATATTCATTCAGTAATGGCTAGCAACAGACAATGATGCCTTAAAAGTCTAACTAGAAATGTAAAGAAAGGAAAAATAAATATAAAGCTGTTTTTCTATGAATATGTCTCTGTGAATATGTCTGGAAAAGGATTTCACTGATTATGTTTTGGATACTTACTTCACAAGTGAAATCTTGAACTTTGCGCAAGTGGCATGTTTTGAATTGGTTTGCAATTACATATTTCTGAGACGAGAAAGTATGTTTCTTCAGAACATCTAAAATTGTATAAAATAGTTTGCTATTAAAGAAAAATTAAATACTTACTTGAAATAAAAATATTATAATGTTGACCATCAATAAATAAATCTATTTAGGTGGTTAATAATTCAGAAACTAGTGTTGTTACAGAATGCTTTACTCATATCCAAGTGTTTCGTGCTTAGAAAGTAAATCTCTTCTAGTATTAACATTGGAAAATTATTTAGGAGGAACAAGTAGCCGTGTTGAATGATGGACACAGATTTGTTCTCTTGTCTAGCTAGTTAAAGCTTCAAAATCTTTAACTAGAAAATAGCCACTCCTAGTTAAAACTTCAAGATCTACCAAACTTGACAAATGCGTTACAGTTAAAATATATTTACGAAGCTCTCATGTGTTTCAAAGAATAGATTATCCAATGTCAGTACTTTTCAGTCCATGTTTATTCAAAAGAGTTCAGTGAAACTGTAAAAGGCGCATTTGTTTTAACTAAGACTCCAAGATGTGGAAGACAGAAAATGTTGGAGAAAAATCTCATATACCATTATTTTAGCATTTGAAATGTTATTCAAAATACAGTGTATCTTTAAAGATTACCACTGATCTGATTACTATTATTTACTAAAGTATTACTGATTTTTTCAGCAATTTCTGTATCGCGGAGCAATTATAATTAAACATCTTTCTTGATAGTTGCTATGTTTTATATTAGCACTTGCTAAATATTACGTTTTACGTTTACTTTAATATTTGAGCTTTATTCGTACTACAGTCTATACCTAAATATTACATCTGACCTGATCCGCTTAGCTGCTATTTACTAAAGCATTACTAATTTTTTGGGCGAATAATAATTAAACCCTCTTCTACGTTGCCAAGTATTATATTTTACGTGTACTCTAGTACTTCACGCTTTATTACTACCGTAGTTTATTCTTAAGTATTCTGATCTGAAACGTTATTTACTATATATTAGTAATTTTTTAGCAATTTCTGTATAGCGTAGCAGTTATAATAAAAATCATTTTTGCTAACTATTACGTAATATTTTTAGTGCATAATAAGGAAAAAATACTGAAAGACTATGGGAATTCTATGAATGAGATCTTTTAAGTCGTGAATCAGATGAAAAATGACCAAAATTCGAAATCTCTTTAATTGCTAAACAATAAAAGAATATATATAACAAACTCTTAGAACTACTTAAAACCAAGTTTATTATTTACGAGATCGAAATACAGAAGCATGCAGATTTCTTCATGAAATGTAGTCCGCTTTCTCTGATAGTAATACTTTTGAGTACAACAGAAATTAATTTTTTAATTTTTCAATTTTTATATATCTAAGACTTTTTTAAAACAGTGTTCTTTTAAAATATAATATATTTTTTACTAAAGCTTTATTTCCAATTCTTAGAAAAAATGCATCCTAATAAAATATTCTACCGGAATCTCATCTTTATTACCTACTAATTTAAAATGTATTAGATAATAGTAGGTTATAGTGATAAGGTATTATCACTAATACTTTGTCACTATTACTGGTTATTACCTAGTATCATATCATTGTTACCTACGATTAACTAATGTATTTTAAACATTGTTAGTTTCATTAGTGGAATTTAGAACTCGTATGCAATGTACAACGAGGCATATTTTTCATGCGCGAATACTTGTCCACGTTAAGAACGTGTGTGCGAAAAATTAAGGGAAGGGGAAACCTAAAAATGTATTTTAAATATCTACATTTGTAAAACTACATGCAAAACTACGAATATTTTGCATGTTCTATTTTTATTCATATGAGCTCTTCCCCGTCCTTATTCTTGCTATTAAAAATCTTACAATTTTTATATTAAATAAAATGGGATTTTTATTTATTGCTCACTAAGGTTACGGAAAGAGCAGACAGACAGTAAAATTTTCATAATTTTCAGGAGAGGAAAAAATCAAATAAAAGAAGAAATTATGCATAATACAGGTGCATTTTTAAAGTAACAACGGACAGTTATAAAAGCTTAAACCTTCCATCTCACTATTATTTATTGTTTCTTTACAATATATTTAAAAAAGTGTTGCCCCATGTAAAAATCAAATATTTTAAGTTCATAAAGTTTTTTTGCGAATTTTTACTTTTCTTGGTTACTTTTATTTTTTTACAAAGCTTCACGTGTTTTCCAGTATTAAATAATTTAAATAAATTTAGCTTTTTTTGTAAAATTTCTTTCATCAATTTCTATAAGTTATGCTACGAAACTATAAGCTTTAATATAAATTACATTTAAATCAAAATTTATTAAAGAAAAATAATAAATAAATTTTTAATCGTATAATACAGTTAACAGAGTTTTATCTCATAAAAGGGTTAAAAAATTTGAAATTTCTTAGTAAATAAATAAAGGGAGAAATTCGTTAATACAAACATTTACACGCACAAGCATACGTATGTATACATATAATCTCTTATTTCTAACTAGAAATTCGAAAATATTGCTATTTCCTTGCTATGTATTCTCAGCACAAGTTTTCTTCTGGTGAGAAAATTACGATCTTTGGATATGCTGCCACAAACCAAATTATTTAAAATTCGAATTACGAGTCTATTTCCTCTTCTTTAAGCTTATGTTGACGTACTTATTTTTGAGCACTGGTGAGAACAGCCCCCAAAATAAAGACGTAAACTACCGTACGGATGATAAGACTCTGCAAGAGTCTGTCAGAGAGTTTCAGTATCCTTGTCTTATTTACAGTTCTGAAGGGAAATGGGGGAAAAAAGAACGAGTAGACTCACGATAAAGTTGAAAGATATACTAGCTCCTGAAGAGGCATAAATGCCTCTCACACTGAGTGTTGTTGTCTTATTTATTTGTACATTTAGCTTTTAAAATGACATATAGCCGGAAAAAAGTCTCAAACTGTAGTTTTTCACACCTTTCCAAGATTTGACAGTGCGTGCGTGAGAAATACGGTGTGGCAGGAATATTTATAAGCTGTAACTATCTATCAACAGAGCAGGATGGACCTTACACTTTTGAATGGCACTTTTGAATGTGGTTTTAGGCCTTAATTTTATATAAATGACACTACAGAATTTGCTCATATGGATAACTCTGAAGTATGAGTTTAATTAAAAAAACTGATGCTTTTATGCTTTTTAAAGGGGTTGACAAAGAGCACAAATCAGTATTTATAAATAAATTATTCCTTATTTGTGTTATATTCCCTAGACGCCCTGCATTTCGCTAAGTTTAGAATACTCTAAATACTTAACTTAGAAGTTGTCGAGAGCGAGGTATTCGCTCAAGGGCTTAAACATATAAAATATGGTATTCTTACTGGGAGAGGCACAGCCAGTAGACAAAAGGATGACTTTTCAACTAGTAGTTTTACCCGAGTTCGGTTCGTGACGCACGGGGTGGCTGCTTTCATTGTTTTCTCTATTTGGAATGTGAACGTAAGCCTCTACGAAGGCGTCACTCATAAGGCAGGTAGGTTGGTTTATTGAGATTACGGCAAAACACACTAGGGTTACCTGCCTAAGAGAAGAGATGCCTTCGTGGAGGACTTTCTCTAAAGAAACAGGCCCGTATACACATTACACATGGGGAAAACCTCGAAAACGCCCGTTTGCGGGATTCGAACCTAACTACCAGTGTTCAGCGACTTAACCGCTCGGCCGATGGTGGGTATAAGGCAGGTAGCTCTCGCCCGCTTTGCCATAATCAATAATCTAAACGGCCTGGTTACATGATGTCTCCACGACTTTTCCGCATCTAAAGTGAATACTAGATGGTGACTATTTGAAATTCCGCTCGAAAGCATCCCTCTTATTTAAAAATATGCAAGAAGAATGCAAAAAATAATTTAAAAGGTTTTGTAGTTGTTCTAAATAAATACAGATTTGATTTTTACCATTTGTTTTGAAATCT